GGAGGAGGTCTCACTTCATAGCTCAGTAAGAGAGATTCCACTTCCACAGTGTGGAGTGGTTGCAGTCTGGGAAAATCTGTGATTTCCCTGTTTTCAGCCCCACGAAGCACTATTGCGGCTGTAAGAGATGCGGTGCCAAGAGCAAGCGGAAGCGCGTCCGCTGGGGACAAGGCAAGAAAATGAGCTGCTGTCGTCACGCTGAAACAGAGCTTATAGCTCACATATTATACTGACAGTGATTAAACAGTGTCTCCTTTTGTGCCGCGTCCTGGAGCACTGAACTGAGATAGACTCGTATTGTGATGCACAAAACATCTCGCATCTCCTCTTCACCCCTCTCTGCAGCACCTCCGGTGCCTTGCTGCTAAATAACTGCAACAATTCAAGCTGGAGAGATTAGCTCACCGCGGGGGTCTGTGCAGCAGAGCCTGCTTAACACCAGCCAGTAATCTGGCATCGTGCACTCTTTGGGACAGCAGGCTGTAAAAACACGCCGGCGGTTTCCATGGGCTGCTCTGTGCAGCCGGGGTTGCCTGGTTCAGCTATTTTATATTCTGCAAAGGCCCACTTACTCCTCAGAGTGAGAATTTGCCGTTCACGTGTTGCAGCTTTGCTGTGACTCAGAGCAGCCTCGCTGTCTCCCATGCTCAAACCGCGACTTCGCCCCTGCATACGGAGCCTTCTTCTTCCTGATGCCTACCATGGTCTCCTAAACAGGTCTTGGGGTGGTTACCCATTCACCCCATCCCCTACCATTATCTGACTGCACTGCATGAAGGGACCCCCAGTCTGGGCTCGCTAAAATGAAGTCGTATCTGCTGTGTTTGGCTCTGAATCAGAAGATTTTGGAGGCTATTTTGCTGAGCTCTGTTGCTCCCTCCCTACTAAAAGTGGATGCCACCTCATATCTGCTGCACTCGTAATGTGGGGGAATAGAAAATCCTTTGGTGATGCCAAATATAAAGCAGCCGTTGAGCCGCTTCAATCTGTTCCGTGCCAGACACAGCCCCCAGCGTGCTCTCGCCACCGCTGATGCTCTCCTTTGCTTTGTCAGAGGCAGAGCAGAGTCTCCCCAGCCCCAAGACCTGACATACGGCAAAGCCCCCACTGAGCTGCCACACGAGGGACACGGCAGGCTCCTCCCTGTAACACAGCCTTTGTGCTGCAGCAGGTTTTTAAAGCCTTATGAAAGGGCTGATAAGGCCAAACCAAGCTTTGAATACCAAATGGACACAAAACAGGGTGCATGACTATATCATTTTTGATATTGGTATTGATATACATTAAAAATATTGATATACATTGAAAAATGAAAAGGAAAACCCATGTCTCATACAGTCGTTAGCATGAGCCCCAGGATGAGGCGTTATCAGCACTGCTCTGATAAGGTGAGGAATGTGTCTTTTAAGAGGCTGACTCCCCAGGCCGGGCTGTGGGGCCCTGTAACACACAGGCTGCTATTTCTGCTTCAATTCCATGGTCAAAGGCCCTTTCCTAGACAAAAGTATTGTGTTCCAGGAACAACAGCATAATCTGGTTTATACTGATCTTTCTGAAACACTCTGAGACCTCCTGATGAGAAGTACTACGGAAAAAATAGGTATTTTTTATTCCTTTTTTGTCTCCATCACTCCGGTACAAATGCAATCTGTAATAGAGTCCCTAATATATCTGATCAGAGCATCAGCCGCTTGCATTGAGCTACACTAATGTGCTGTGAAGGATGATGCTGAGGAAGCCTGAAGTCTCAGAATAGAGACAGTTTCCAATTTATGTTGTGTTACTGTGATATGCCAAGCGTGAGATCCCAAATGCACCACGAATAATTGGGTTTACGCTTTTACTCTTCATGCCCCAGTCTTTTTTTCTGCTCAGTTTTTGTCAATTGTGTCTTGCATTCTTAATTACTAGCAAGGAAGGATAATGCACACAAACACCACGGGGAAAATACCTCTCCAGCAAAGCAACAGCAGACCCCAGAGATAAGTTTTAGCCTGCAGAGCAGGTTATGTGTTACGCCAGACACATATAGCCCCCGTGACTAGCTGAGCTGCTCCTATTACAAACATAAGTGTTTGACATAATACCAATAAAGTCACCCTCTTGAGGAAAATTAAGACCATTTGGTAATGCTGAAGTATAATCAACGTTTTAAAAACAAAGCCATTTAATGGCGAATTCAGATTACTCTTGCGAGAGTGATGAATAGAAAGGGAGGGAAGCATTGAATTCTTGAAACACATTTTGCCCCAAACGCTCCTAGGCAGCCACTTGGGATGTACATTCATCAGCTTGGGCTGGGTTTAGGGCTGGGTGTGCTTCCACGACATTCTTCATGACAAAGATAATCTTGCATTTGACTAAGGGTTTGACAAGCATGGATTTGATTAACTTCGCTGTTGCAGTGTTAGAAGAACAAGACTGTACAAACAAGAGCTCCCCGGTGGGTTTTTCAGCACGGACCCAACTGTGCTCCAGTGAGGCCAAAGACAGATCAGGAGCAATGCTTTTGTAGATCTCATGATGGTTTTTCCCCACAAAGTTCTTCAGAGCAAGACCACTAGGTAGCCTGCCCAAGTAGATGAAATTGAGGCTGGAAACAAAACAAAACCCCACTAAATTCCCCATTATTAGTATCATTCATTAGGCCACTTTTTCAATATCTTGATGTCTTATCACAAGTGACTAATTCCCTCTGTTCCTCACTTTTCTCGTGTGTATCTGATGTTGCTCGTGCAGTTGCTGTACCAGGAACAGCACGACTGATATTCCTGTGGTCAAAACAGGACCACATGTGCCAGTATATCACAGAGGCAATTCAAAGAGGGAATATGGGACCTTGCGTGTTGTGGGAACCAGACTAAGGGCAAATGGGGTGGTTACCTCGTGTGAGTGTTTTGGAGTTCCACTTCAGACCTCTGCAGAAGTCAGGGCAAAATCCGCATGAGGGACAAGCCCCATGTCTCATGTCCCACTTGGTTCAGCCACTGCTGCGAGTTAGCCCCCCATTCAGGGCACTGGGCCCCAACAGCAGCTCTCAAAGAGGGCATGGAACAGACATGCCAGAAGTTACCTGGAGAAGACAAAGACTCAGAAAAGATAATTAAGAAAAACACCCTGTGAGAGGCAAACGCTGAGTGAGGACAGTAAAGCCAGCGAAGGGATCAGGGTGATGCCTTTGCTTCCTTCATCCCAAGAACTCTGCTTTGTCTCACCGAGATGCCTTTGAGCGGCTGAGAAAGCTGGTTGAGCGCTGTGCTGAGCTCCTTGAGCAGAGCACCAAGCCCCACACCACAGCTGGTGCTGATGAATTTGCTGCAGTACCGCTGCCAGGCTTCACGACCAGACTGAGGCTGTTGTCTCAGTACCCCACAAGCTGTCAAATGGAAGTTTATCATGGTCACTGAAGCATTAAGGCAAGGCCTCCGAGCATCACAAGCTGTCTGCAAAGCTCCTTCCTGTTAGTTATGCCTGTCCCCTCTGTCAGTCCTCTAAAAAATAACCATATTCCTTCTTTCAGGGGAGGTTTTAGTCAGTTCTGTCCAGAATTGTAACTCCACATGGAACCCCGCGCAGGAAGCCGAAAGTGTTGTTCTTGCTCTCAAATCTGTTCCTGACCTCTCTACAATTTTTTTTGGGGGGTGCCAAAATTCTTTTTGACCTAATTTCAATTCCCACTTGGCATTTTGGCAGTGGAAATTTAGATGTAGAGCTGCTGAACAGAAAGTGTGTCAGATGCACTGTGGTCACCACTATGTCCTTTTAGAGTGGAGATGAGCAGACAAGGGCTGCAGGCACCGAGATCATTTTACATTTAAGCCAGTGTTTAATTCTCCTAATAGCCCCAAGATCGCCAGAGCTCAAAGTCTTACAAACAGGATTAAGAGACCTCCTAAATATAGGCTTGTTGTTGCAGGGAAGGTAAAAGAACAACAGAGTCACTGAGAACTGTTTTTGAAAAACATTTATTTCTGTCACAGGTTTATAGTGATGAATCCCAACACCCAGTACTACAGACATTCCCCCCTACACATAGTTCTGGAGACAACTACATTTGATGAAAAATGAAAAAGCCATACAAAGAAGCCCCCCCAAACAAATAGGTTGGTACAAAACAAACAGTGCCCAGTTTCTCGCTGGGCCTTTACTGTTGAATGTTATATCCCCACGTGATAGAGCTGCTGTGCTCTATCCCTTATTCATTGCTAGAGGAAAGTTCACTTCCTGAAGGCCCCAAATAACTGCAGATGTTGTGTTTAACTGCTAAAAAAGCAGGGGGCATATGGGCAAGAGACGGCTGCTAGGATTCAGTGGCTGCTGTTTTTGCAGACATCACTTAGAAAGGAAATCTCTGCATTTCAGTTTTACCTCCTGAACCCCAGAATTAAAAAAGTCAAATACAAACCCAGAGACCAACATACACAAAATAGTGAACAAGTGTCCAGACATTTCTAAGCCACTCGGTTTACTGTGCCTTGATACCTCTGAAAAACAACAAAATCCCCACATTTGGATCACGTTGGATCTGATTTTGAAGATGGAGGGATAGAGATGCAGCACATAGCATAGCAACTGTCAAACAATGCTTAAGGCAAATTTATTCCCATTTAGGAGCTGAAGAATTTTGTTTACTTTGTTGTTTAACCTGTTGGATAACATCTCAGCGGGACATTTAAACTTAGACAATTTAATCAACACTTCAGTGAAGTTCACTCAAGTTGATCTGAGCACAGGAGAGAAAAAAGTGTTATCCCCAAGAATATCACCCTGAACAAATTTAGAAAAACCAATCGATGTTTAGAACTCCCCCAAAACTTCCTTCCCTCAGAAACCAGGTTTGAGCCCAATTAAAAGACACAGACATGCATGCACAGGAAGAAGGACATAATGACAGGCCTCTACAAACACAATGCTGAAAAACACCAAAAGCAGAGACAAACCTAAATTCCACAGATGTGAGAACACCCACAGAGTTATGAGTAAAAAAGTGTGGAAAAGAGAAAAACAAAAACCCAGAGAGTGATGTTTCGTGATATGGAATGGAAAGTCCACCATACGTGAAAAAAGGGAGTTCTTATGTGCACAGAGAGAAAGCTGGGGGGTTCAGTTGCCTCATCTCTCAGTTGTGTTAGTTTGTTGTGCCTTTCCTCCCCCTTTAAGACCCAAGTGATGGTGCCACGAGGTTGGTGTGTTTACTCAGTCTGTGCATCATAATTAGCCCCCCCTGCTTTCTTCAGCTCACTCTTGATGTAATTCTCATCCAGCTCTTTGTGGTCACTGATCACGAATTCTTTGGCAAAGTTCTGCAAGAGATAAAGAAAAGGTTTGTTAAAAAAGAGGATACTTATCCAAGCACCTGAATAAAGACAGTTGTCCAGCTTCCATGGCTTTATGAGCTACATACCCACCGTGGTAGGGATGACAACAGAAATCTTTGGATGAGACAGAAAACTGGCAAAATCCAAGACTCACTCTTGAAAAATCCTACAGTCACTGGCTGCAAGACCCAATCCTGCCCTATGCAACAGCTCTTCCTAGTGATAAATGCACAGGCTGGGTTAGGTCAAGTTTCCTAAGCAGAGTGCAAACTGAAAAGCTCAAAACTCTTGACCTTCTAACTGCCACTGACCCTCAGCATAATCTTGGGCAAGTCACTAATCCTATCTGTGCCCTTTTTAGGACCCTTTCTCCTAAAAAAAGAACAGTGCTACACCACAGTACACTACAGTATCATAACCCACAAGCTAACAAGAGGATGCTTCAATTAAAGACTGAGCAAATTCAGTAGATTTACTGACTCCTCCTCTCAATTATCTAATACATAGCATGGCCAAAACCAAGATACTGCACCAGACAGGCTGCCGGCATTAACAGGCTCCACTACGCTCTGTGGTCTAATGATGCAAAGTGACCTTTAAGGACACGCTTTATTAATACACTTGTGTACTATCTAGCTGCTTGAATGCTTTTTGCCACTTCTGGGAGCTGGGCAAGCCCTGGGCAGCACGCTGTGATGTGAGGTTGTGAACAGAGAAAACCCTTCTCAGAAGAGATGGCTGTGAATGGGATCCCACGGTGCCTTTAGGGCACTTGTCAGGGCAGTGTCACTATAGTCAGGGATTTGTTCCTTTGTAGGGGCTGTTCCTCCTGTCTATTAGCAAGGGTGGCATGAATATGTGTGCACGGGCGTTTCAGCAACATCCACATTTGCCTCTTGCTTTAGCATTTTCCTTCCTAACCACAACTGAAAACGCTGCATGTGTCTTTCCCTTCCCCCCCAACCAACAGAGGGTTTAGACAGCACGAAAAACACGAGCATCCACTGGACGCTGCAGAGACAGGGGCAAGCTGGCAGCAAAAAACCCAAATTAGAATCCCAACAGCCCTGAAAGGTGACAGGGGCTGCCTGAGAGAATGAGGCAATGCTTTGGGAGAGAAACAGTCGTCTTGTCCGGGTCTCCCTGGCACTGGAACAGCTCCGGCGCAACCATGGAGGGGGGTTTCTAATTGATTTCAGACTCCAAGCCATGGGAGAGCTCTTTATTTGGCAGCATCTCAAGGGTCTCAGTTTGGGATCAGCCGGGTAAAGAAGGGGGTGGAGAAGGATTCAGCTTGAAAGAGCCTCAGCACCTCTTTCATGCAGTGGAAGGAATGGAAGGGAGAGCAAAACAGCTCCCTCCCCCTCGCCAGTCTCTCTGTGGCTGATCCTATTTCACACTGCAGGAAATCCTCACTACCGAGGAGTTGCTTGGTGGTGAGGAAGCTTATAGCAGCTGTGTGAAGCCTTGTCTGCTCTGCTTTAGTGTATCAGCAGCCAGACAAAGTCCTAAGACATAACAACTGCTGCTTCATAGCACCATTTTGCTCCATGCTTCAATGGTCGGCTTTTCTGGTGTGAGGACAGAAAGACATTACAGGCATTCATCCGTGCCTTAGCAGGGTTCAGGGGAAATAGGAAATAAGTTGTTTATTTAGAGAAAAAAGATCCTTCTTTTGAGATGGGAAATGAAGAGGCAAACTGCCCAAAACATCAGATTTGGTCATGCTCACAAATGTCCCACTTCCAGGTCTCCTGCATGAGATGTCTACAAAGCTCAGCTCTGGCTGAGACCAGACAAACGATTTTCAGCTATTTGATGCTCACTGAGATGTGCTACCTACATGTTTTTTGAGCTGAGCCTTTTCAATTTCTTTTCTCTGTGCTAGTGGGTTTAACAAACTTCCCTTGAACCCAGAAGCAGATTGTGCAGGACTGCCCAGCTTCGGTGCTAGTCTTTGCCCTGACTTCACTGAGAACTGAGGCAGGTGAATAAAATCATTCCTGGGAAGGATCCCGTGAAAAATGTGCGTATGTTATAAATCCACGGAGCATTTCCTTCAGTGCCCACTCTGCAGAATCCATCTGATTACGAAATTAAAGCTGTGAGTGCACTTATGAATGAACACAGAGGAACTGAATTACATGTTCCACAAAGTATTATAATTACTCAAACGTTCTTCCCAACTAGACGCTTACCCAGATGAGTCCTGGGTGATGATCTGTGGGCACCAGCCACTGTTTCATGTCAATGCCACCAAGACACCTGGCAAGGTTTGAACAATCTCCCCTAGCAGTAGCCAGATGGGTTATGTTCCAAGTCACTCTTAAATATCCTCTTAGCTGCCTGGGCCACCTCTGTGCCAGATTTGTAACCTCAGAGTCTGGGTCACCGTTTAATAACTCTTTGCTTTATTCATTTCTGCTGTCAGGGGCCTCTTTGGTTCTTTTCACCAGCTCTTACCCACCACAATGTCTCATCAAGCCTGGCCCCAAGGGGAGAAGATGCGTCTGGTGAGTTTAGTGCCTGCAGCTCCTGATTTCAATATCCTGCTTGACCCTTCTTCAGCCATAGCTTCCCTTGTCATTCCGAATTCACTGTTTGAGCTCTTTGGGACTGAGCTTTTGCTCAGGGTTCAAATCATAAGGTGAAGGGAGGCATATAAGTATTTCAGAAACTGCTGAAACTTCTCCTGTGTCATAAGGGAGGAAGGCAGGAAGGACTTTGGATCTCAGATCAGGAGGTTGGGCACCCACAATCAACAGTAGCACTTTTCAGCCAAGGGCCATCTTATCCAGAGTTCACTCTTTTCCACTACCAGAATGTAAAACTACTCACAACTGATTTAATTGGGTCTGATGTTAGCTAGACCAGGCAATGGTCCTTATTTGGCATGACTGTCATCTGCAATTATAAATAACTGATCACAGCAGACTGGCTCCTGCAAAGCAACAGGAAAAATCCCAGCTTCAAGCAGCTAACAGCAATGCCAACAGGCATCCAACTTAAGACAGATATCTGCTCTGCCACCAGATATTCCTTTTGCCCTTAAGAGACTGGGGTGGAGAAAATCCCTGCTTTCTCTTCCCTCACATACACCAATATCTAACATCTTTCAAGAGCACTGCAGAAGTTAGAGACGCCTAAGGCACAGCACGAAAGTGATGCTGAGGCCCTCTCTTTGCTGACATGCATCTTTATTTTACATCCTCCACTTCCTTTTCTCTTCTCCTCCCCCTACCCCCAAGCTTTTTACAACCACAGCAAGCCCTGCAAGTGAATTCTACCCTTTGTATTCATCCCAGAGTCACCAGCAGCCTACAGATAACAAAAACAATGATGCCATTTATCTTTATCACTCCCATATACAGCAGTGACCAGTCTCTTTGCTTTGCCTCTCAAATCACCAATTATGATGTAAAAAGTAAGGTTTACTCATGGTTCTTCAATACACCTATCTAGCACGTGCTTTACTTTGTGCCTGAGTAGCAAAGGGTCATGATTGTGCAATCCAATCCCGTCTCAACCTGCACAGGATACACTACAGAGAGAAAGGGCTCCAACCATGGAGGTCAGGTTGCCAAAAGTGAGCCTGCATCTCTCCCTGGAAAACAAGAGATTTGTACAGCAAGCTCAGTCCAGCCTTTCTGTTCCAGGCAACTTTATGGGGGGAAAAAAACCCAAAAAGGTGGGGTAGATTTCTTCCTGTTCCAGGCCTTGGATGTTTAGCATATGGGGCCATAAAATTTCCCCAAGCTGCACAAGGGAAAATCTTGGTGGTGCAGATACTGTACCAAAAACATCTGCAGAGGCCCTTATAAATCCCAGCATGGGTAGGCCTGAAGCCAGAGGGAAAATCCTTGTACCGTCTACCAACACTTGGGTTCTTAGCAGCCAGGGATGGTGCCAGGTAGTTGAGCACCTTCCCACTGGTTTTATTTACACTGGGGCTTGCAGCAGCCTCCACTGGTGTTCAGAATCTTCAGTCCTGCTGTGCTTAATGTCACCATTCCCATCCATTGGTAATCTGATTTTCAGCACAGACGCAGTACAGAGGAGGTGACATCTCCCATGTTTCTTATGAGTCCTAGACCTGAGGCCATGGGGAAGAAAGGACACGTCCTGTGGCTGCAGCAGAGGTATGTTCTATCAGGGCCTCTCTGCGTACAGGGAGAGCTATAAAGTAGAAGTGCCTATAGCAATACAGTACCACTGCCCTACTCTTCTCTGGCTACACCAGATCTGGTCCTGTGATCAGCTGTGACAGTCCAAGCTATCAGCAAAAACTCTCTCTTCAAACCTACTCCTTGCCAATTTTTACATGGACCAGTTCCAGCCACCGGGAGAAGCCAGCCCAAACCTCTGGCAAGCACATCTCTCAGCAACGGGAGCTACATTCCAGCTGATCTGCACATTCTTCCTATCTGTGCTGCATCCCACTGGAAAAGTCACAGGGCTGTGTGTCAGCTGTGGGGGGATGAGAAGAAGCCGCTTATTCAGGCCTGAAGTTACTTACAAAGTTACTGCCTTCTCTACAGTAGGAGTAAGAGTTCTTGTAAATCCATGTCCATTTGGTATGATCATTACAGTAAACCATAACAGGAAAAACAGTCAAAATGAACAATTCTGTTTGCCTTCCCAGCAGGATCTCACTCAGCTTCTGAGAAAGACCATCTCAAAGCTATTATCATGTGAGTTTGCATTTCTGGCTGCTCTAACAAAGCTATTAAACCAGCTGTACTAACATGAGAAAACCAATGCACATACATGGAGTTATATGTATTCTATCTGTCCTGAGACCAGGGACAGTAACCTCGTAAGTGTACCCTCCCTTAAAAGATACCAGCATCAGTGCAGTGAGAAATACAGAGGAAAAGAGAAAGGTGAACAAAGAAAGATCTGGCCGTGATCTTGAAAGCAGGAACTCAGTAAACTTGTTGACATCACTAAAGCCAGACCAGTTCCTCACCAAAAATAAAAATGAATAAAATGCCATGAATATTTGCTCACAGAAACAGAGCTGTTTTACCCTGAATATGATTTAGGCAAATAATAGAGCATATGACTTTGTGGGGGCAGGAGTGCTGACGAAAACAGAGAAGAGTCAAAAGTCATGGAAAAATAGATAGACTATCAATGGTGGGGCAGTCCCTTTGCTGATACAGCCCTGCAGAGGAATTCAGTCCCATGAGGAAAAAGATCTCCACGCTGACTAAGGAAGGGTTAAAATATCCTGGTAGGAAATGCAGCCATGAAGGGCTACAAGTTCACAGAGAGGAAGCAACACTCAGAGGGAAACCAAGTGCTGTGTTCAGTTCTTCAGCATCCACATCAAAATCAGACCGCTTTAGCACCAGCTGCCACTACCAGCCCCGCAACCGTTGTGCCTGGGCTTGTCCTTACTGGAAGAAAAGCACTAGAACACCATCCATCAGCCTCTCAAAGCAAATTCACTGTAAGACCTGATGCTCCTGTACTTAAACTCTACAGCTGCCAGGTTTCACCTTGCAGGAATTTTTAGGGCTGAACTGAACCTCACGCTGGCAGCCGTTCCAACCCTGACAAGCAGCTTACAACAGCCTTGATTTCTGGGCTTAAGCTGACCGACCTGTTTCTCCTGGGCCTTTGGAATAAAAGAGGTCAAAACAACAGCCCTCACAGCACAGAGGGTCTCCTGGATGGATTTGTACTAAGGCTGAATGAGCCACAGCTTATGCATATAAAGGAGGTAAAAAGCAGAACCATCCTCACTTCCAGGGACATAAAACACGAGTTTAAGACCAGCTTTGAACGATCTCCTTTTCAGCCAAGTAAAAAATACGCCCAAAGCCTTTCTTTTGAGCTGGTACCTACTGCCAGCCGGGTACAACTCTGGCATGACAACTAGTGGCTCCCCATGACGAAACAGCAGCACAGGACACAAATGCTGCTGTGGGGTCTGCTGCATATGTGATGCTCTGTGAGCATCTGCCAGTTCACCCACAGGCACAAGGTAAGACTCTACTGATGATGGCAAAATAGATGCAGCCTTAAGTCACCCTGGCTTAATGCTTCATGAAGTTCCCCAGCTGTTAAAGTTTAGATCATTCTAGATCTAGGTTTAGACTGTATCCCAGAAATGGACTCCCAAACATCTTAAGCAACAGCCTGCAAAGCGTGGGATATTGTGTGCTACTGCCTCTTAGCCCTAGGTACTGTCCTTGGTCTAGACAGAAGCACCACGGAGAAAAGATTTACACAGGAAAGTCTCTACACATTAGTACTTAGCCATAGCCTCAAGAACATACAGATAAATACTTGTTCCCCAGCCTGGCCTTACTTCTAACCTGCTCTCAACTGAACTACTTGGACCAGGTCACAGGCTTGATTCAATATTTCCAGCTAAGGAAAAGAGAAAGGATGGAAAACAAATGGCTATGGGGGAAAATCAATAAATGCTACTGAATGTTCCTTAGATGCAAAATGTATCTTTCTGCAATCCAAAATAAACACAATAAATGCAAAACCCATTTTCCAACAACACTAATGAGGTAATAGGATGGTCCCAAATATGCATGAAGACCTGATTCTCAGCTAGTACAGATCAGGAGAACTATGGCCATTTCCACCAGATGAGATCCATCCTTGTAATTTCACAGTTACCACAGCTGAAAATCAATTGTCCGTTCTTCCTGAGAGATTTTCTGGCAACCTCCTCCACTGACTATCAGCATTGCTTCCCAGGCCACCTCCCTGTAGATTTCAAAGCACCTGCTCCCCCTTCCAAGGCAGGAATAGAGAAGTGAGGGCAACCCAGTTCCTCTCCGTGCTTTATAATACTTTATCCTTTTGTTCACAAGCCCATAATCTACTCTTCAACAGTTAATATCCCTTGTGTTTTCCTTATGGCAGGTGCTTCTAGGGGACTGCTGATAATCACCATGTGTGAACGCTCCTTATTCTAAAATGCAGCATGGTGGGGTTTGCTTGCTAGGCAGTATTCCAGCTGACTCCCTTTCACTTGGAGTCTCAGCGGAAGAACATTTACTGGCATTTGTTCAGCTGTGAGCAGAGTAGCTCGTCAGTGCATCTACGACATAGCAGAGCATACAAAGCAGGCTCCACTCACACCCCAGCTTTGGCTTAGATGAAGAGCCACATTATCTTTTGCAGCTACTACAAGATGGTGAGAGCCCATCGAGTTTTACTGAGGGCTTCCCGGACTGAAGAGCAGTTGTTCTGGAATCCCAACCAGTCACTTCTATAGAGTACAAAATCAAAGCTGTTACCTGCTGTACAAAAAGCCTCCTTGTGCCACATTTCACTGGAAGGAGAGCCATGTCACACAGGTGACGTGCACCTATGGGCCATGCACTAAAGCTGCAAGAGAGCCAAACTGCATCAGTAGCCTGGATTCTCCTCAGGGTTTGTAAAGAAGAAAATTCCCACTTTAGGGTACTACTTATTCCAAATGATGAATTAACACTAAGTCAGATCTGTAGCTTATCCTTACAGAGAACACCCACTGTATTCTTCTATGTGTAACTCACATCTCAAATAATCTCTTTAAAAATCAGAAGCAGTGAGGTGACTGGGAATGTACTTGAAGGTCAAGAGAGCTAGTAAGAGTGAAATAGCCCTGAGATAAATTGCCTCCACTAAATTTCAGTTGGACTTTCTTGTCCTTTTTCATTTTGACAGATGATCTGCAAGGTTACATGCATAAAAAGAAGGAAATAGTTCTGCTTTTAGCCCACTCCACTCAGAGGGATTCAGTTGCACATGCAGAACTACTCAAAATAGTGGCCCAGATAATTCCTTATGGAAAGGAGATGACTATTGACATTACTTTCAGGAATGCTTTGGAGTGGGTTACAGACATGGTTGCTCAATTGTGTATTAAGCACAAGTTGTACTGTTTTCATATTTTAGTACAGATCCATTGGAATATGAAAACTTTCAAGCAACACCCAAGAATGGTTGAAGTTCCACCATATTATTAACTCATTTAGACTACTAATCAAAGATGAAATAAGTGAAATGCAAACTTAAATACACCTGACCTGAGGAGGCAGAGATCTCAGAACAGCATTCAGGAATGCTATTCAACCCAACAGGAATAAATTGTCTAAACATATTTTTTTTTTTAAGTCTTGGGCTTAGTGACTCTTATATGAGTCATTTATTAGTACTCTATAATTTCATCTTCAGCTACAATTACACAGTTTCAGCTACTTCACATGAATAGAGGTTTATTTTCCTTTCCTCAGGTGTCATTATGGAAGTTTCTCTTCAGAATGGACCCCTCTGCATAGCTGTCATTTTGAAACATTTACCAACAGTTCTTGCCTTCTGGAAAGATACGATTTTATTATTTTCTTCATGCTTCTTATCTAAATATAATCTTCTGTATCATGCAAACAACCAATGAATTGAGAGAGGCTGCATTCTCATCCTTCATATTATGCTATTGGGAGATTTCTTTACACAGTCAAGAACACAATTACTGAGGGAGATTATTTCAATGCTCAGCCTGGTCTCCAAGCACCTAAGAATGATCATTCCTCAGTCAATGGAGAGTTGGCCCCAGGTTTAGTTGAAAGAGCCAATCTTGCTTTAAATTCTTCTTCTGGGTAAACACACTAAATGTTAGCATCTTCTCCAATAAAGTCAGCTTTCCAGCAGCAGCCTTCCACAATTCAATTCTCTTGTGGCTGCTGCTTGGACTGAGCCCAGCTCAGAGTGCTCTGGGAGGCCTCAACAGAGTTAAATGATAAGCTCAGCTGGGGCAGACACATTCAAGTGAAGCCCATCCAAGGCATGTACTAAGATCATTTCTCTTTTTCCCCCCTGATACCTCCAAGGCCAAACAGAAGACTATTCAAATCTAGTTAGTAAGAGCTGTGAGTTAATTGGTACTGATAGGGACTTCAGACTTTAGTCGATTAGGTCCATGAAGTCATTGTGCAGAGACAAAAAGCCTCAAGAGAAGTTTAAACAAGGGTGTGGATTTTTCTGTTTAATTTTACCTGCTTAACTTAATGCTGCCTTGTTCTCCATCGTTCATTATGTTATTTCCATATCAAGGAAGGAGATGGGAAACATCTTAATGGTGACAAGGAGGGGAGTGCATATATTCCCTCCTCATGAAGTAGTTAAGACAGCCTTATGCCCAAAGGTGCCTCTTTATGCCTGAGTGCTCAAAGGGCAAATGTTAAGTCTTCCTAGTAGGAAGACAGGCAATAGGAAACCATCTTCTTTTTAAAGGATTAACTACAAAGTTGAAGGATGATCCAATCCTTCCTCCTCTGCGCTCTTCTGCTGGTGTTTGTAGAGCTAAGAGCAATGAGAACTGGTGGTTAGAAACGGAAGGAAGAAGTTACCTGTACTACTTCTTTGACCAGAGTTTTATCGGTCCCAGTTTTGGCTCTCTGGAGGCCACTGACATCCTCTCCAATCCAAGTGATGAGGGCAAACTTGACTCGCTTGCTCATGGCATCACCGGTGGTGAACCGGACAAAGCCGAACAATCTAACATCATCTGGAGAAACAAAGCAAAAGGATAAAATGATTAAAACCAGAAATACCCCTGCCTTGCTATTTCCCAGGGTGAGACTTGAAGGCCAAGCCAAGGCATTGATCCTGTGTTACAATTCCATCATTTGGGATCAACAGGAGCTGTGCTCATATGGCCTCCACAGTGGCCATTGTGCAAATCTGATCCTTTGCCCTCCCTCCCTTCTGCAGCATTTCTGGCTCACTTGCACTATGAGTTTAGAAGAAGGAGGGGAGAAGAAGGAGCAAAAGAAAAATCTGCCATTACTTCCCCAGATGTGTTTCAGTACTCCTTCCAAAGCCCCATTGGGAAAGGCCTTGGATTTTAGAACGATTCTGATCTTTGTTTCACAGCTGGTTTGTGCTGTATCACACCACAATAGAGTTGTTTGGCCTGGCCATGTGCGTAAAAAGCCTTGTAAAGTACTTGTCTCAAAGAGTTCATTCCTTAACCTGCAGCAGTCAAATGCCTTCACGATCACAGGCCCTTAGAAAGTGTGTGATAGCATCCATTTATATCCCCAGCCTCAGCAGCATGCATGATGCTAAAGGCTCCAACCAGGATGTGCAGAATGGACAGTTGTGCAACCATGGAATATACCTAATCATAGCTACGTCACCAGTTACAGGCCACTTAAGACCTTTTAAATTAAGATGACTCAAAATAGAAGAACAAACTTGCTGTTTGACAAGAATCATGTTAAACCTGATTACACTTGTTGTGACCAGTTCAACATGCTTTATAGTTATTTATTTGCTGTCTTGTCTACTGCCAAGTGAAGACGAAAGCTCCAGGTGCAGTAACATTCACCAGCCCACCCTTGGCCCCATGAACAGTCAGGACAGCCCCAAGAGAAGCAGGTCTGAATTGGTCATCCCCAGAAAATAAGCTGCTAGAAGTCAGTGCAAAAAAACCCCAAAAGTGGGATGTTCTCTGAAAGCTGACAGATCTCAGAGCTTATTTAGCACTTTGTTTTGCCAAAATGTGAGTAAAGACAATTTCCCCTTGATAAAAGGTAAGATATTTTCAAATCTGAAAAAATATCTACCAACGCTCTCCCTATTTTGTTCTCTGTGTGGTTTTTTGCCACTGACAGAGGACTACAGAGGATAACTGGAAAACAGACATAGGAGGGGGTGTGAGCCAGTAAAGGGTTTAAAACAAACTCCTCTGAAGATTTCAAACTTGAATCAAAGAGAGATCTTATTCAAAGGAAAAATCCAGATGGACCTTTGAAAGGAGAGTAAGAGTCGTGTGTACTGACACTGCAGGCAAACAGAACTTCCCTCTCAGGTACCCTATTACTGGCAACTACAAGAAACACACAGAGAGACTCCTGTTTCTGACAGTAAATCCTCTTCCTAAGATTGATTAGAACCATAAATGAACCGACAGCCAGGAAATACCCAAGGTGAAGAGAGGCAGTAAATCCCCTAATGTTACTATTAACAGTTCTATGAAAAAACCTTGCTTTCCCAGATCTGACAGCAAAGGAGGCCACGCTCTGCTAAGAATTGTGCTGTGGTTCCCAGGGGAACACAGTGCTTGAAGGCACTTTAATGTCATCAAGTCCTGGTCCCTACTACACTGTAACCGTGTCACAGCCCTTCCCATGGACTCATCACTTTCCACCTTGAGTATTTAGGTTTTTCATCCCTGCCCCTTCTGCCAAAGCCTGTTGCACATCCTGAAGAGACTTCTACGGAATATGCTTCTTTATTATAAAGATAAGGCAAACATATAACGAATGTGAAAAAGCAGTGCTTTTTCATAGCAACATAGAAAGCAAGTTGAGGGAATTTAGCTGTCAGCATGAACTTTAATTTGACATGGACCCACAGATCACTGGCAGCAGCAGGATTTGCTTCTTAGAAGAGTTTTAGAGCTTCCCCATCCTGTCTGAAAGCAGCTTGATCAAGAGATCCAATTCCACATGGGCTTTTATCTATTAGCTCACCTACTACTCAGTGACTATGAGCAACTCTTACTTCATCATACTGAGTACCAAAAAGTTTAATGAGCAGCTGAGGTTAGATGTGAGGCTCTGAGTCACTGTCTTGAGCAGAATTTACCTGGGGCTGGTTTACTTGTGGGGGCTTGAAAGGTTACACCCAAGCTGTGCGCTCTCTCCTCCTGTCTCCTCATGGAGCTTGTATCCTTACAGTAGGCAGAACAGCCTCTTCAGCTGCCACAATTGTCATTCCAGTGCACTTAATATAAGGTACCAGTAAGTGATGCTTTAACTTGATGTGCAGATCTGTGAACTGCAGCAGCTGATGAGAATTTCAGCAGCTGCAGATAAAGCCAAAAGGGAATGTGAACTGGAGCCCTTAGCAATTAACATGCCTAATTTCTTAAAAGGGCCACAAGGACAGATGTGGAGGTTTTTAGCACTAGTTCAGACTGTGTATGAGCCACTCCAATCGCAGGGCAAAATCCCTGAGCAGAAGTGGTTGAGTTTCACAATTAGTCTGAAGCATGTTCAGAGTGATAACGGTATCAAAACCCAAGTTCTTTTATACTCCCAAGATTTCCTCTTTCACAGTTAATCAGTTCTACCCTGCCAGTCACCTCACTGTGCTGGAAGTCATCAAGGCCATCGGTGCCAACACCCCTAGAAATATTAATACCCACCCCTCCTTTCCACACAAACCCACTTCTAATGGGGTTTACGAATTTTACTCTGCATGTGTGTAAAAGATCATAGAGACAGTAGATTTCCTCTGAAAGAGGAAATCCTGCCTAGCTCTACACAACCACCTTCCTAGTCATTAAGCCATGAATTTCAGGGCAGAAAGAAACAAATAATAGATCTGGGTAGAACGGAAATAGCAGCCTTATTTGAGCAAACCAACAGCAGAAATTAACAATGTTAATTCCTACTAATAGTACTACTCCTTTAACGATGGTTGTACAGCATGACAGAGCTAAACAAACAATTAAAAGTACAATGAATGCCTTAACGAACATCACTTAGTATTTTCCTCCAAACCCTTTGCTTATCAGTGGGCAGGATTTTCCAAATATACTGACTAAGCTGCCCCTGGCTGTCAACAAAGCTGGATGCCAAGCTGCAGAGATTTCCTTGATGGTATTCTTCTCTTTCTCATCCACTCAAACCTATGGTTCGGCTGTACTATAAAATTTCCCATTGGATTAGAATGCACTGACTCATCAGCAAAAGATAATAGCTGCAGGAAAGAAATACAGTCAAAAGCTTCATGGTTCTTAGTCTTACAGCTCTGAATGGTCAAGCCAGGGACGTGCTAAGAGAAGGCCACTGCTCCCAGCTTCACCTGCCTGCTAAATCAAGGCCACGTACAGCAAGGCAGCTGATGGAATGATCTGCTTTTGTGTCGTGTCCAACAATGAGTTGCTGATCGTGCATGACAGGTTTAATGAGGATTTATTTTATTTGTTTCAATTGGATGCACTGTAGATTAATTTGCCCATTTTCCACCTTGTCAGTCACCCCTGTAGTCACATGGCTGGAAGTGCAGACAGAAAACCTTCCCTACCTTTCACTACACTGCTTTTTCTCTCTTTAACCCTGTACTGAAGCCTGCATCTCTCTGACGCAATGCTGCCTTGCACTGCACTGACATGTTCATCTAAGACAAGTACAGTATGTTTGACCTCAGGACCATAACCACAGGACATGCTGTAGCTGGGGCACCCAACCTTTTCCATATAACCTGGTGTGGCTGACGTGAGTACAGGGTACTCAGAACACCAGAGCACAGGCAGGATGACGCCATGCTGACTTCTCCAGCTTTTCCTGCTCCAGAGGAACCACCAGCAGCATCTCATCAGAATGAATTGCTGCTACCCCAGTGGCAGTGGTCCTGAGGTGGTCTTTCTCCTGGCGCCGGTATATACTGGAGGGCAGTGGGAGGAAACAGGGCATCCAGATAAATTTTGTTCCCCTTTCCTGAAGGAAGGAACAGTTGCGTTAGTCAGACAGAACTAAGGGCCAGGCAGGTCCCAAAACAAAAGGCACGCAGAAGATCTTAACGCTGCTCTTTACCTGCTCCTAAGCCTAGTACTGGATGGTAAATGCAGACCCACAGTTATGCTATTTTGGTCAAGCATCACGAAACTAAACTGAGTAGAAGAGCTACTATTTCAGTGCAGAACTCAACCTGATGAGTTACTACCACAAAAATTGATGAGAACATTCCCTAAAACAGCCTCCTGTCCATTGCAAAGGACGGCCTCAGCCATGGGTCAAGCTGGCAGCCCGGAGATCACTGTCAAACACATGCCACTTGAGCTGAGCCTCCCAAAGGCACAACTTCCACAGCAAACAGGGAGGGCACCGGAGCAGGGAAACGCTGCAAAGACAGTGTGAAATTCCCATAAGCCACCCATGGCCCCAGGTCTTCCTTTATAAATAGGTATTAAGAGAAAGCAGGCAAGATGAACACTAAAGAGGAAAAGCAAAAGCAGTAGGAGACTGATTTACAAAGCCCATTTTAGCAACTTAAGATGGTGCCAAATGCAGATAATCACCTATCTCATTATATGTCCTCGTGCATTTTTACAAATCTTTCCTACAAATTAAGGTGCCAATGTAATCTTGGTGATCTCCCAACACTTAGGTCCTAAACTTTATGTGCAGGCCAGGCTTCAAAGGGCAGCTGCCATAAGCTCAAAAGAACTTGTGTTTATCTTAGGAGCCAATTTTATTTCTATTTCCTTCCTAATATTTTATGTCAATCAGAAGTTGTTTTATAGGGTATTTATTTCAGACCAAAGGTTTTCAGTTCTTCCTCGTGCTGAATGCACAGTGCGGTTTTGGTCTGATCTTTTCAGACACATGAATAACTATTCCATTTCATGCTGTCATTGCAATTATTTATCTGGGCTGGGGCTTTCCAAATAAAAGGCTCATTATTTCTTTAGTCAGAGACGCATTGAAAAACAACTGTTCACATGTGGCATGGGAAGGAAACACAGTCTTCCGACCTCTGCATTACTTAATGGCAGAATACACACTTCTAAAGCAATAAACCACAGACAAGAGACAATGTATTGCTCTGCTGCTTCATAGTACAGAAACTGAGATACAACTGACACACACAAAAGTTTAAGTAGGTGTTTCTGGCCAGACTTTTAGTTCAGTATCTCATTGTATGTCAGTCTGCTCTTCTCAGCAACAGCCCAGCTATGAGACTTCAAAATTAAACAAGACAACGAAAAAACTCCAAGACCCTTCACATCCTTCTGTACAATAACCTTCAGCTCTTATCTGTAATTCTGGTTTCAAATCCACCAGTTTGGGGGTTCTTCTAAGTGTACTGATGGCACGTACTACTAAGCACCAAATTAACGCTACATCTGGATCTGTGCCATCTGCAGAGGCAAGAGCTGTAACCGTGAAATAAAATGGATCAAAAGCCTTGATTTAAGTCCTCGTTTAATGCAGAAGGAATCTGTGCTGTTAAACCCAACCCAAGCCAGAAGACACAGGGGGTGTCTACACTGTGTGTTTAATGACCTCGACACAATTAATATCCTCAACTTCAGTCTCCAGATTCTTTGGGTCAGAGAAAGGCCAATACAGTCATGTGCCTTGGTCATTACATAGAACTGCAAGAAGTGCCACCAGCAGCCACCTCACAGTCATATAAGGACTTTACTTTGACAGTGGTTTAAGCCAAGCTCCTTGACTCTACTTTGGGATTGGCTGGAGGAGAGGTGTTCACACATCTGGGGCTCGTCTTTGGAGGGCAGAGGGGACTACTGCCTGAGACTGAAGCAGAGTCTCCTACCTCCCAGTCAAGGTGCTTGAGTTGTCTTATGGCCTGACACAGCCCTTGACAGCAACAGCATTACAGCAACTGATAGGCAGAAGTCCAGGGTTCAGGCTGTGTTTGCAGAATCATCCTGGATGATGAAGGAGCTTTTCTTACCATGTTTTGTTCCTCGAAGAGTAGCAATTGCTGTCCCCGAACAGTGGGATGGGAAAAGGACAACAGTTCAATATGCTGTTCCTTAAACTTTTCTGCTAGTACACAAAGCTCAGTGAATAGCTTAGGAAGAAAAAGCCTCCACCCCAGGGTACGTTACATGTGGGTCTGATGCACAACGTGTGTCTGAAAGCAGAGCAGGGAGAGTAATGAAGCCTGCCCAAGGCATCCTGGGTGCTGCAGCAGTTCCTGGCTCAGGGCATGGGCCTCACTGCCCCAGGAGCTCAGCATCTCAGGCTGTTGCGTGTTCCCCAGTGGCAGCCCACAGCGCGCTGCTGGAGGCTTGCAGGGCTGGTTCTAACACGGTCGTTTTGAACTGCTACTTCCTTTAAAAGAAGCTATTTCAGTTTCTTGTTTTTCTCTTTGTCCTCAACCACGTTCATTCCCCGAGGAGGTTTTTGCAGAATCAGTAATGGGCCGGGCCATGGTCTGCATCACAAGGGTTGTGTATGGGGGGAAGAAAAGGCAAAAGTACAGGCCTGGTAGCAACAACCCCCTCCAGCCCTTCCTAACCTCCCTTGTTGCACAAAGCAGGATATCCACCACAGGCAAATGTCTCCCAAACAGGTACAAAAGACCTTCTTGGTCTCAAAGCCACAGGAATTAGCACACACTGACACCGCCTGCTCAGTAATTTAATGCCCTGGAGGGAAGCAATATGTACCACACGCCAAAGGTGCTTTTAACAAGAATGATTATTAAGGAAAGCAGGGGACACAGATGTTTGCCACTCAGAACAGCACTGAAATAGATGGTGCAGAAAGTAGAACAGAACAAGCCTGACAGAGGGGCTTGGTGAGACTTCACATGCTGAGGTTTTCAACTCTAGCTCCCTCTCTCACCTTCAACCACAAAATTAGGCTCAGCTTTCTACCAGAGGCAGCTGCAGTTGTTCTCTGTGGCATTCAGGGCAGTGTTTTTCACAAAACAGGAATTCAAAACAAGGAAGTTTATTCTGATCCCAGGTTTTTTTAACCTTTTAATCAATTTTTCTGAAGCTGTTTGCACTGGCGGTAGCTCTTGTCCCCTCCAGCAAAATGTAGAAGATGGGGTGTGAGCCAGGAAGGAAGAGATGTTAGCAATAGGAAGGGATAATATTTAGCTTCTCTTCCCATCCGTTCTTACTCTTTTTTACTTAGTTTGTTTCAATAGAAACATTCCAAACAGCTCTACTTCATAGTAACATTTGGCACCTTTCTTCCAGATGGGAAAGAAAGTTCCAACTTCACTGCTGGCACATGCCTTGTTTTGTGACTGTGTCTAGTGGTCCAGGAGAAGATGCTGCACAGACGGAGGCACTGAAACTTGCGTCTTTTGCTTCCCCAGTTGCTGCACCAGGTTTGCAGGTGGAGGAAGATCCTTTCCAGCACTCAGCCAAGGGCCCAGTACCTGCATTTGGCTCTAACAACTGTGCTCCAGAGGTAGGCTGAAAACAACCTCTTGGCCCTCGTCTGCCAAGAGCAGCCCATACCAGGTGCATGAAAAGGAACAGGGAAAGAAGGAAAAGGGACAGGGAGCAAAGGAACAGCTATAAGAGATTTAGTTCCACATTAAAGGTTAACAATAGGCCACCATCAACCCCACAGATGCTCTTTAACTCTTCCCACACCATGCTTATGCCAAAAATATGCAAAATTTCTTTTTTGCTGTAAAAATGCTTCAGTATTGGGGTCAGCTTGGCATTTTGCTGGTATAAAACAAGGTTTCTTTAAACTGTGTTGTAATACCCTGTTTATAAATAAGGGTTTGGCACAGGCAAACAATGGCAAGAAAACAGGCCATATCCCACAGTTCAGTATGTGCCTCCATTAGTGGCTGCATGCATCCTCCCCAGCCCAGCTGGTGCCTGCTCTCTGCCTGCTTAGTCTATTGATAAAAGTATTCCCCTTGCTACAGAAGGGAAGATAAGAACTGTTCTTGAGAGGGTGCCACTCCAGACAAAACACTAAAACCCAGTTCAAACAGAGTAAGATATGGAGTCCTTAAAAACAAGGACAGAAAATAAATGGGGAAGGATCCTCTGCAGGCCTCAGATGTGTGAGGGTGCTGTTATTTTGGCTACAAGAGGAGACAGAGAACCTTGGCACTTAGATACTGAAGCAGTTGACCTTCGAAGAAAACTGCTAACCCTTTAGATAAGGTTGGTGTGAACGTCAGAAGTGCTGAGCCCTGGATATTTCCCTGCATGCCAGGTAATACTTTTTTCCATTTGTTGCCCGTTAAAAAGAATTGAGTGAGAATCAGTTCTTGCAGGAGAGGGCATCAGCTCTTCTGATATCAGCTACCAGAGGATCCTTTTCAGTTTTGAGAAGTTTGCCAAGGTCTCAGGACGAGCTGGAAACAAGTGTTAATCCTAACAGTAAGACCCCGCTGCAAATACCATAGTGGAGCAGTCTAAACCGTCTCGATTTAGTGGCTGCTTTCCAAGGAATAGAATGTATTTTCCTCCTATGATATTTACGGACCGAGCAGACCAGTCCTGCCCTCATTGAAGTTACTGGGAGTTCTCCCCCTCACCTCAGCAAAATACAGCCAAGCCCTAGGACTTGACAGACCAAATTTGGACAGGCGCTGGTGTTGCAATGGCTGTGGGACTCACCCCACCTTGAGAAGGGAGAGACTGCCCAGCGCACAGTTCCTCACAGTACAGATACGTAAAGCACGGGTTAACCGCGACACTCGATCGTGGAGTAGCTCAATGAGGGAGGAAGGCTTTGTTATAGTCCAGTATTAGTCACAAACACTTCATATCTCACGCCACTTTATGACATTGTTAAATAGGAGTCAAGATAAGAGCACAAGCTATACAGTGTCGTCGTTCCCCCCCCCCTCCCAGCAGTTAGTTTGAGAAAAATCACAGCCCACTTTTGTAAAACACGTCAGAAAGTTAAGATCGGATAAAGTTAAACATTACTCAGTTTATTTTCATTTTCCCCAGGCTTCGTTTCTCCTGTTAATATTCCACAACCAACAGTTCAACAATCAACTGCCACGTTTAAACCCAGAGCCGCAACTGTTGCGGATGTGCAACGCCACAGACACGACTGTTTTCAGTGCTGTATTGTTCGAGCCAAACCCCCCCGCAAAACCACTCTCTTCTTGGGTTTAATGTTGCTAAAAAACCCAAGCGAGCCTTTCAACTGCTGCTACTTCAGCGCTATGAACACAGAAGGGTTCTATTGCAAAATGATCTGCATGCCTGCATCTTTTTATCCACAAAAATGGAGTCTTTTTTTGCTTTGGAACTGCAGCACTGACCAAGGAGACTTGATTACAAGCGTTTTATCTTGCTCATAAACGAGCAGCGAAGAAAAATGTGCAAAGGGGAGAAAAGAGCCCAATAGACCTTAAGTTAAGGGTGAGACAAAGGACAGGCAGGACGGTGGACTTCAGCGAGTTGCACTCTGTGGCGGCTGGAAGCCCATCGTGCAGGACAGGGCAGACGCAAGGAAGCAGCGGCGCTAATTCCAGTTTACCCAAGTTTTCCTCCCTCCTTTCCCCCCTCCTGCACCAGGCAGCAAAGCAAGATGAAAAGGTGCTAAAGGGAATCAAGACAGAGCTTACCAGTGCACTTCCTTTTAAAGGTTTCATAGTCTACCCCTTGGTCTCCGGGTACGATGGTAGAGCCGTTGTACTTAAAAGTCACCCTTTGGGAAGGGGAAAAGAGAAGGGGAGTGATACGTTTAACAGTCAGCCTTTGGGACGGGGTAAAGAGAAGGTGAACATTCATTTAAGAGTTAGCCTTTGGGAAAGGGAGGGGGGAGAACACATTTAACAGCTTTTAGAGAGGGCATAGAGGAGATAGGGAAGAATATACTAAAACCCATCCTTTGGGAAGGGGGATGAGGAGAAGGTCTATCAAAGTCACCCTCTCGGGAATGGGCAGAGGGGAAGGCACCGAGCACCGTGGCCACTTACCAGTTCACGTTGGTGGCATCGTCCCTGACGAGGTTGTACGCCTCCCTGCAAGCCTC